ATCTGTCATCTGTACTGGTCTCTGCATGTTACAATTTTTTTAATTTTTTTTTTTTGGGGGGGGGGGCTGGGGGTTAACAGATTTATATCTGATCTTGTGTACCTGTAAATATGTACATACTATAAATAAATAATAAATAAAAAAACAAAATTGCATTACCACAACGTGGCATGAAATTAATACACGATTACACCTGCTTATCAATTGTTATTTTGAGTCAGCTTGACGTCATATTGTTGGAATATGTATCTTGGAGTCATAAACAAATAATGTTTATTGCTATTATGTGTGTTTTTCAAACATGTCCTCATTTTTATTTAATTGTTTTAACTTTGTTTATTTATTTAGGGTTTTTTTGCCTTGTAAATTGCATATGAAATAACACGTACCAATACCACAACACAAGGAATGGTGTGGCGTGTCATCTGCATGTTACAATTTTTTTTTGGGGGGGGGGGGCTGGGGGTTAACAAATTTATATCTGATCTTGTGTACCTGTAAATATGTACATACTATAAATAAATAATGAATACAAAAATAAAATTGCATTTCCACAACATGGCATAATACATAATAGAGACAATGTTGATGATGTAAAGGATGGAGATGATGTGAGAGATGGAGATGATGAGAGGGATGGAGACAATGTGAGGGATGGAGATGATGAGAGGGATGGAGAGGATGAGAGGGATGGAGACAATTTTGATGATGTAAGGGATGAAGACGATATTGATGATTAGAGGGATAGAGACGTCTCCATTCCTCCCGTCTCCATCCCTCTCATCGTCTCCATCCCTCTCACCATCTTGTCACCATCTCCATCCCTCCCATCATCTTCATCCCTCACACTGTCTTCATCCCTCACACAGTCTCCATCCCTCATACCGTCTCCATCCCTCTCATCATCTCCATCCCTCTCATCATCTTCATTCCTCACACCGTCTCAATCCCTCACCAATCCCTGTCATCAACAGCATCTTCATCCCTTACATCATCAACATTGTCTCCTTCCCTCTCATCACCTCCATTTCATTCAATTCAATTCAAAAATGGTTTTTATTAGAGCAGAAACATGATTCATATACAAATACAATTTTACATGAAGGACAGCCTTGGCTGGAATATACATGTTTACATGTTCAGCACAATAGATAACACTTTTAAATATATACAAGTAAAAAAAACTAGCAATATCAAAAATAAGACTCCGATTCTGTAACTAAAATCCATAAACACATTGCACAAGTTTCCAGAAATACAGCTGTAATTGTTTACAAATGTCCTATAAAAGTCTATCCATCCCTCACCAATCCCTCTCATCATCTCCATCCCTCTCATTGTCTCCATCCCTCTCATCCTCTCCATCCCTCTCATCCTCTCCATCCCTCTCATCATCTCCATCCCTCACATTGTCTCCATCCCTCTCATCATCTCCATCCCTCTCATCATCTCCATCCCTCTCATCTCCATCTCTCACATTGTCTCCATCCCTCCCATTGTCTCCATCCCTCTCATCTTCTCCATCCCTCTCATCCTCTCCATCCCTCTCATCCTCTCCATCCCTCTCATCATCTCCATCCCTCACATTGTCTCCATCCCTCTCATCATCTCCATCCCTCACATTGTCTCCATCCCTCTCATCATCTCCATCTCTCACATTGTCTCCATCCCTCTCATCATCTCCATCCCTCACATTGTCTCCATCCCTCTCATCATCTCCATCTCTCACATTGTCTCCATCCCTCTCATCATCTCCATCCCTCCCATTGTCTCCATCCCTCTCATCATCTCCATCTCTCACATTGTCTCCATCCCTCTCATCCTCTCCATCCCTCTCATCCTCTCCATCCTCTCCATCCCTCTCATCCTCTCCATCCCTCACATCATCTCCATCCCTCTCATCATCTCCATCCCTCTCATCATCTCCATCCCTCACATTGTCTCCATCCCTCTCATCCTCTCCATCCCTCTCATCCTCTCCATCCTCTCCATCCCTTTCATCCTCTCCATCCCTCACATCATCTCCATCCCTCTCATCATCTCCATCCCTCTCATCATCTCCATCCCTCACATTGTCTCCATCCCTCTCATCATCTCCATCCCTCTCATCATCTCCATCCCTCACATCGTCTCCATCCCTCTCATCCTCTCCATCCCTCTCATCATCTCCATCCCTCTCATCATCTCCACCCCATGTCATGTAAATTGAAATTTAATTATGAAATTTAATTCTTTGAATGGAATATCATTTTAATTTGATTCAATTTAGGTTTTATTATATTTGTATGATCTTTTTGGTTACTAAATAGTAATCAATTATACTGCTTTATTGCTGATTTTTTTTTTTTTTTTGGGGGGGGAGTGGAAATTCGTTTTGACCCACACCCCCCCCCCCCCCCACACACACACACTTTTTCGTTGGGAGGAGGGCGAGTCCCCTGCCCCCACTTCTGGCGCCTATGATCGCAAGAATGGCTGGATTTCTGAAAAAGGGGCACCTACAAAGGGACACATCAACAATAATAAAAACCATTTTTAGATATTTGTATAAAGGCCTACGCCTTCGTCAAGATTGTGAATACATTACCACGAATGACATCAATATTTGTTTATTTCTTTACGTGGAACAACATTATTGTTTAAGCAACATACTTCGCGATTTGGTGTGATGGACTGAATATCGATTTTCGAGCAAGCAAGCTGAAAGTGTAAGGTCCCATTTGAAAAATTACATGATGAATATTAAAGACAATTTAATGAAGAAAGACTGAAAAGTTCTTTTATGTAATTATGAGTAACATTATAATTAAAACATCTGAGAAAGAAAAGTAGGCACTTATCAGAAGGGAAAAGGACATGTACAAAATGATAAGGGGGCACTTTAGGGGAACCTGAAAAAGTGGAGGCATAGTGCCCCCCCCCCCCCCCAACCAAGAATGTCGCCTCTGACTGTGGGCAAAAGTGCAAAACTAACCCAGAAAATCTAGAAATAAACCAAATTTCAATTTTATTTCGCGGGTCAACTGCCCCCTTACCCATCAGTACGCCAGTGCTTCCAGTAGGCCTATCCTTCCATGAATTCCTACCATTAAAAATTATCAGAAGGGAAAAGGACATGTACAAAGGATAAGGGGGCACTTTAGGGGAACCTGGAAAAGTGGGGGCACAGTGTCCCCCCCCCCCCCAACCAAGAATGCCGCCTCTGACAAAACTAACCCAGAAAATCTAGAAATAAACCACATTCCAATTTTATTTCGCGGGTCAACTGCCCACCTCCCCCCCCCCCCCCCCCCCCCTATCAGTACGCCAGTGCTTCCAGTATCCTACCATTAAAAAAATTCTGGGACAGAAAAATGCAGCTGTTATAGACCTCTAGATCAAAAGTATATTATTGTTACAAGGGAAATCAACTTTATTCTTTGTAATGACTGTGTTTTTTAAAAGCACGAAAATCATGAAAAATGACAATTTCATTTCCATATATATTATTGTTACAAGGGAAATCAACTTTATTCTTTGTAATGACTGTGTTTATAAAAGCACGAAAATCATGAAAAATTAAACTTTCATTTCATTTTAGATCTAGAAATCATGATGGGAAAAAGTGTGGCGAGTTGTCCGAAAAGGCTGTGGCGAGTTGTCCAGGGTATTGTGGCGGGTTGTCCAGGGTATTGTGGCGGGTTGTCCAGGGTATTGTGGCGGGATGTCCAGGGTATTGTGGCGGGTTGTCTTGGGGCGGGTTGTCTTTGTGGCGAGTTGTCTGGACCCCGATTCGTTGTACCGTTCTCGACTCTTTATCCTTATCTGAATTCAGTTCCGTCCCCCCTTTTCCGCGCGGAAGCTTTGATGTTTCATTATATAATTAGAGAAAGAAGACGATTCGTTGTACCGTTCTCGACTCTTAATCCTTTTTTTTCCTACGCCCTCTTCCTTTTTTTTTTTTTTTTTTTTCTTTTTTTTGGGGGGCGACCGCCCCCACTGCCCCCCCCCTCCCTGGCTACGCGCCTGCCCCTCCAAAATAAAAATAAAAGAAGGCGATTCTTCAGCTCACTTCTCTTACAGTACTAGGCTAGGCCCTTACGAGAGATCTAGCTATTTATCAAGTCTTTAACTTTTAGGAGTAAAATATGATTATCTGATTATGAAAAAGAAAAATTCCATTCCTTCATTAATCGAATATTCTACTCTGAATGACTAATCTAGTATATGATAATGATGTAGCTACAGTAGATATAGGTCTAGTTTACTCACTAAATCAAATTGGATATTCTACTCGGAATGAATAATGATAATACAGTAGATATAGATCTAGTTTGATTAGTTATACTCACACATCACTCGATCAAATTGGGCAGTACAATCATGCAATGCAGTGCAGCAGCCCGGCACGAGTCAGTGAATTCCCCCGCCGACCCGGCCGGCGGCGCTGTACGGCTAGCTGCACACTGAGCTGAGCTGCTGCGGTAGCACTAGGCAGTAGTCTGCTAATTTACGGCCAGGACGAAAGAATGTGAACAAACATCAACCATCTAGTCTAAAATGTACTATATTCGACTTCTCAATAATGAAATCTGTGTCAGGAATAAAAAATAGACCTTCATACGAGATAAAAATGATATTTTTGCAGTGATTTACCGACAAAAACACTGCTCGAATTTCAGTGGTCCGAGTAGATACAACGCACATTTAATGTACGTGCGGCAATGCAGATTGCGAGCTGTGAGTAAATTGTCCGAAATGTCATTTTTTTTGTCATTTTACCTAAAGATAAGTCATATATTGTCTTCATTAGTATCATTTAACACAATTCCATTAAAGATTTTGGTTGGAAAGGGCATTATTAAGTCACAAAGAGCACAAACATATACACATTGGTATCTCTCGATCGATTAATCAGGTCGGGACATCTCGGCCCAGTTTTTCCAGCTGGGCCGAGTAGTCCCGTGGGCCGAGTTAGCCCGGATTCGTTCATAATATATGTGACTCGTTTGATATTTCAGCTACTCTAGGACCATTCAGTACTGACAACTTCAAAACTGAAGAAGAGACAACTAGTAAGATTTGTATTTTCAAATGATTTACTATATCTTTTGAATTGAATTTGAATTTAATAACCACAACATATCACAATAATGAGAGTATAATGAACAATCATACAATGCAAAGAATAACGATACACGAATACATAAAGGAGGAGTAATGTTGATTGAACAGTAATGGTTTTAAAACGATATTTAGACATAGATATGAATACTATTTTGTACAAAATATACACATAATTATATGCATTGAAGTTGTTAATGGGGACTAGAAGTTAGCACATGTGCTAGTCGAGCCCAGTTCCAATCTTTGGCAAGGTTTTTGTTTAAACGTATGCTTGTAAAACTTGTTTGATTTGTATTTACATAGATTATATATACAAAATAATACAGTATCAAGTAACTTGTTTACATTTCTAAAAGAAAAAAAGGTAAAGCGCTAAAGAATTATAATGAAAGATAACAAATCGTTAAATGAATACAATCATTGGTATGTTCAAAATATGAAAAGGATGTATTAATAAAAAATAAGGCATAAAATCATGTGCGTAGATGCTCAAATCTTTTAAAAGCTTGAGGGCAGAAATAATCATCAACAAACAAATGTATACACACCAGGGGTAGATACATAGGCCTGCAAAATAATGATAAATGCACAATGATGTGCAATTCATTTTATAGTTCCCACTAATCGTATTCTCTAAAATAAGTTGGTTTTTTAAAAATCATATTGGGTTTGAAATTAAGCATGCATTTTTTCGGGTAAAATGATAGCCAACATTGGGTAAATTCTATCCAACATTGGGTTGAATTTTAGCCAACAAACATGCATGTCTTAAAAAAAAATTACAATGGGTAAAATCTTTCCCAATTCTTTGTAGAGTGTAATTAGATTGGAAAAAGATACCCCCCCCCCCCAAAAAAAAGGGAAACTTGGATTAGACATTAAAACAAAAGGAGAAGCTAGCTACAGAGAGAAAATTTGTGGGGGCTTCCAAGAGACAAGCAAAGGGCAGTAGACTATGTGTATAAGTGAGTATGTATTGTATTGAAAATAATGAGTAAATGAACAAGTTCCTAATGGAAGATTCAAATTACTGACATCTACGATTGTACAGCGAATATACATGTACTTTCCAACCTTACTGACCATTTAATTAGTCATGTATTTCAAGCTTTAATCTGATTTCATTATGTCAACATGGGTGAGTATCATAATAACTTATTACACAATTCATTAAGTTATGCCTAATCAATTTTCCCCTTCCAGTTGATCCACAACCAGACCCCACCACCATCACCCCTGCAGGTAAGACGAATGATTGATATTAATAATCTTCGTCACGTGCATTGTGATGATTTCCTTAAAGCCCCTCTGCACTAGATTGGCCAGGAGGGATAAGACCTCCCTCCATGGTCACCGATAGGTGGTTATCTCATCAAATCAACTCTCAATTAACATAAGAAAAAGGGGATCATAGGGGACCAGCGGTCACCGATCAGGCATTGTTTGCTATATAGAGGGCGTAAGGAGCTATAAGTAGTGCAGTGGGGCTTCAACTAACACACTTCTGATATACTATCAGAAGATTTAGAATTAAGAAATAAGATTAACAATTCCGACATCAACTGGCGAATGATAAGATTTGATCGAAGCGCCTAAAACGTATCATTATCTCGAAAGGCAGTGATGGTTAGAAGGGGGAGGTACTTTCCCCCGTGCTGTAATTGGAATTTAAATTCAAATTCAAATTTTTATTTTGTATTTTAATCTGAATTTCTCCGATGACCACCAACATCATCCACAGGAGCCAGCGTATCTTGTGAGAGCACGACCATGACGGTTCTCCTCGACCGAGCTCTGCTCGAGAATAACGGTGATGCCACTGACGTCCACTACGAAGACCAGAGCTGTGTCGGGTACGACTACACCGGAAGTCGCATAGCCGTCACCACCAGATATGACGACTGTGATACTGTGTCGGAGGTAAGAAAGGATTCTTAATAACCTGCCCTGTAAAGTTAGGAAAATCTCATCCAACTTGTGATGTGGGGGGGGGGGGGGGGGGGAGCCGGGGGAGAGGCGGGTATCAGAGAGAGAAATGCAGAAGATGGGAATGGTAGTCATATTTTTTGTTTTAAATGATATTTTATTTCCTTCCTCATAATTTCACATAACAAGAATTTCACATAACAAGAAATTATCAAAATAAGCAATATAAAACAAGATCTTTGATACAAGACACTTAATGAGTTACATCAATCAATGAACATAGAGAAAAACAAAAACAAAAAAATTCTTGCATGTAACAGTGTATAATCAAAATAACAGTAGAGGAAGGTTTAAAGTTACATATTACCATCCTATCACAACACTCTCACACCCCCCCCCCCCCTTCTAGCCCACCCACACCACACCCCCTTTCATATGGCTCCCTTTAGTCTCATTTCACAACGCCCCCTATCGTCAGAGCCTGGTCAGGGTCAGCAGCCTAACATGTTAGCCTATGGACGTTTTTTTTTTTAAATCGTTAAAAATTCATTTTTTGTTTAAACGAAAAGCACATCCACCCCGACGTACGTTATCACTAGCTCTTTCATTGGAGCCCTCATGTCTCATTGACTTTTGAAAGTTCACCCACCGTAATTTTTCAAAATAGGTTGCAAGCTCGTCATTGCCTATAATACACATGTGAAACAAGTCTAACTTTGGACTCAGTTTACCAAGCGATTTAAAGATTATAGGTCGAGCACACGAAACATAAAAAGCATGAATTATCATAGATCACTTCTGCCTATTTCATTATGTCCATTTCATCCAACCCCCCCCCCCCCCCCACCGTAATTTTCTATTTAGTAAAAGCAAACATTTTGCCGAGTTTAGCAAAAACATGAATATTCATGAACGATCAGACAATACAGCCTTTTAGTACGTAACGAATAGTGAATGGAATGGTCGATGATCCGTTCAGGAGGTAGCGGTCAGTGGTTTGTGCTGGCAATGTTCACGCGAGCGAAAATGAGACAATCGGAGCAATATGATAGCAGTACGTTTGCAATCCAGAGAACATGTAGGAAACGGTCGCGTATACATTACCATATTTCAGTAATCAGAGGGGGGGGGGGGGGGGGGGGGGGTGTGTGGTTTGTTTTCTAATTGGTATCTGGACGACCCGCGTGTTGTACGTTATACTGCAAATAAAATTGTATATATTTTCTTTGACTTACAAACGGGGATGGGGGACAATACCGGCTTTAGTTGAGATGTTTTGCCCTTCCTGAGGCCAAGGCCTGGATACGTCACTACTTAGACTCGAAACGCTGCACATGAACAACGCAATATTGTTCTGTTCTGTTTCCGAGGGCAGGGGGACAGTTTTCCCTTATTACTTTAATAAGATTATTGAGCGAAAACAATTTCATGTGTTCCCTTGCCAGATTATTGAAAGGCCCTATATCGACATTATTGGCTATTGCCAACTCAATCTACCTTGATATTTTTGTCATCTTTTCCCAATTTTTCTGAAAGCAAACTGCTGATGTCATCAAGTACTCCAACGTCGTGACGTACTTCAAACCGACGGGTGAAAACGGATCGCTGATCACGCGTGATTTCCGCCTCAAGATCCCCGTCACTTGCGAGATCAAACGCCGCAGTCTACTCGGTAGCTCCTTCAAGCCCAAACTCGGCATCGTGAGCTTCAGCGAGACTGGTTACGGTAATTTCTCGCTCACCCTCGACCGCTTCTCCGACATCTCCTTCACCTCGCCGGCACCCGACCAAGACGCGCTGGTGTATCTCGGGGAGACGCTGTTCTTTGGGGTGACCCTAGACGCGGTTTCTGACCTGACGTTGTTTCTTGACCGCTGCTGGGCAACGCCCGATGTCTACCCTATGAACCCGATCGAATTTACGTTCGTAAAAGATGGGTTAGTATATAAGTCTTGAAGTCAGTGTTTTCTTCTTCTCTTGTTTTTTTCTTCATTTTTTTCTTTCTTTTTTTGTGGTTTTATTGAAGAGGTAGGTTTAGATTGTTTGAAATTGTGACCATACAACGTGCAGAAGACGTTCTCTGGTAGGATAAACAACCTACCTTTTTCTCGCCTTTCGCCTTAGATGTCATTCAATTTTAGTCTCTATTTTTATCTTCTTTCCATTTTTCATAATCTTCTCCTTATTTTGTTTTCAATTTCCAGTCAACATTCTGATTTCTACTTCTTTCTACATAATATTTCTAAATAAAGTTGGCCTTTAAAAAAAAAAATAAAGTTTCCTGATTCTTCCTCTTCCTCTTTCGAAAATGGCATCTACTTTTTCTTTGCTGTATTCATTTCTACTCCTGATTCTCTGTAGTTATTATTTTCATTTAAAGAAAAATAAATTATCAGTCCCTTTCGGTAATTCTTACATGTGTTTTCTGTTAGTTGCATGCTTTAATTTTGATTTCTATTCTTTTTTTTCACAGATGCGGGCTGGATCCTACCGTAGGCTTTCATGTATTGTATTGTATTGTATTTATTAAACATCATTGATGTACATCAATATTCTGTTTATAGACATAGTTATAATCACTTTACAATGTAATGCAACAATCGATATATAAAACATAATATAAAACATTTACAACACCTTTCTAAATAAACAATAAGTCATGCAATACGAAATATGTAAATGAGAACTAAAACAAAAGCATAAGATTGTACACGACTACTTTGTTATAACATATAGTATCTAAAAATTACCCCTCATTGCAATTATGTTTTTGGTGAACAAAGAAAAACTATCTATTACAACTTCATTATCTAATCTCATTATAAATATGAATTTTTCTTGACTATCCAAATTACAAACATTTTCTTCCAGATTACTAATTGTTTCTATAAAATCTACTCGTAAATCTTTATACTTGTCACATTTCATAATTATATGGAATTCATCTCCTACAAGATTCATATTACAGTCTTCACAGAATCGTAGATTCGGGGGAGTTTTTTCTGGTCTTTTATACCTTCCTGTTTCTATGGGTAAGTTGTGCGCGCTTAGACGTAGTTTGGTGATATTTTTTCTTAAATTTATATTTGGTATATGAGATAAATACTTTTCTTGCTTGATTGAGTTTTTAAATTGTCTGAGGGTTCTGAGTTTATTTCCTTTACGGGTATCCCTATCATCAAATAAGTCTAGTTTTAATTGTTCATCAAATCTCCCTTCCAAACAAAGTTTACATAACTCGACAAAATCTTTATGAGAAATTTGTATATTTTCAGGGTCCAATACGATCTCATTTCCATTATTACAAATATTTAGTGAACTAAAGATATCCCGAATTGACATTAACCAACAGCTTTGTTCGTTATTTACTAATTTTTTGTTTTCTTCAAAAGATTTATAGACAAGGCCATTTTCATCCAAACTCCGTATTCGTATCCAATATTTGAGCATGTTTATTGCAATTTGAATAAGTTGAGGATGCCTTCCAATTTCAGCTGAAACTGCTAAATTGCTGCATTTGCGGTTTACCCCTAAGATATTTTTACAACACTGAATGTGTACTTTCTCAAAATCGTTTTTATAATACAGTCCTGTTTTCCCTGTTTCTATTTGAAGAATTTTCTTCATGTCTATTGCACTAGCACCCCAAATTTCGGATCCATAAAGCAAAATTGGTTGTACAGTTGCATCAAACAGGTGTAATAAGGTTTTAATACTGGGCGTATAATTGCCGAAAGATTTATAAAGTTTAAATAATGCTCTCCTGGCCTTATCATGATATACAGCGTTTAATTAAGGGATTCTCTATCGATGCTTTTGCTTTCATTGGCGAATATCCAGAGGTAAGAATACGAATCATATCTAATTCGGAAATTATTAACCGGCTGGCTGATTCGCCGATATTGCTCCTTACCACCACCACCCCCCCCCCCCCCCCCCCGCTTATTCACCGGCAGGCTGATTCGCCGGTAAATATTTTCTTATGAATTCGGCAAAAAACACCTCCCCTTAAAACATCCTGGATACGCCCTTGATTGCAACAATAATAGTCCAATGTATGCACTATAGTAAACCATAGCCACTAATTATAAAAAGAGCTTTCATATACATGATGTGTATTAATGCATTATGAAAAAGAAAACAATTATTGGTAGAAATAATATGAATAACGTTAACAGCTGTATTTTCATGATTGACAATTAAAACTGTAACTTTTGATCGTCTTATCATACAGGTATACCTTCATTGTGACGTGCTTGTTTGTGATACCGACCCTGCATCCCGCTGCTCACAGGGTTGTGTAACCAGGGCCAAACGTAGCGCAGCCGGGCAGCCTCGGGGTTCGAGCTCCAAGCCACACACCATCTCTAACGGACCTATGTCTGATCAAGCAGCTGCTGGTTCAAGCTCAATGGGTGAGCTGCACTCGGAAAGAGTGGTGTTGATAACACTATCAGAACAGTGTTATGATTGGCTTCTAAACAACAAAGCACACCTCCCCCCCCCCCCCCCCCCCCCCCCCCCCAAAGGAAAAAAAAAAAAAAAATAATAATAATGTGGGAATGTGGACTAGTTTATGTTTTATGTAGATCGCGGACTTGTCCGATTATGCAAATTAGTTCGCTACGCGTGTTGCACATGATTTTGCGGATGAATGATTTATTGTGTGGTACGCCGCCCACGTTAATGTGTTAACATACATGTTAGTATTGAATGACATTCATGTCACGTTCAATTGCGGAGAGGACGTTGTTGCTGTGCCTGTAGCTATGTATTACAGAGTCACGCGGTTTCCTTGTTTTAACGAGGGTTTTGGTTCTACTGTTTGGCAGTATTTTCGAGGGCAAGATCAGGACTTGCATGTTGCAGCTTCTGTTGCTGAGCTGAGCTGAGTTGATTGCTGGTAGTTTCTTGGTGTCTCCCTTTTCCCCTTCACTTCCTTCTCCACTGTAGTTGAGAGCTTCAGTGGTTTATTGCTGAAGACTTTGGGGTTTTTTCCCGTTTCTGCGTGCATGAATCACCGAGAATCAACGGTTTATGAATTAAAGCACCGGTTACGCTAACACACGTTTTCCCGAGTTTCATTTATCGTCTCACACGTACTACGACAAATTGGCGACGAGGATGGGATGAAGTCAGCGCAGACAATGAGGGAAACCCCACGGTCTTGGATGAGCAACCCCACTGCGTGGTCTGAGAGGACCGGCCTAGACGATCTTCGCAGATAACCGAGCTTGCAGACAGCTCGGGTAGATAATCTTTGGTGGTGACTTACTGAGCATAGAACTTCGAACTTATGATTACTGCTCGGATAGATGGAAGAGCAGTATTGAGAATGAACTATCCACGAGGACCATAGACTGATAGAGACTGAATTGACTGGAACTGAGAATGTTTTTTTTTTTTTGGTTACCAACCAGGGTAACAAGGATTTGTTGTAAGTCCCAAGTGTTCAGTATTTAATACTGTAGATTCAGTTATATCTATTCAGTACATGTTTTGATAGTAGAGTAAGGTGTAACTTACCTGTTTTTCCCCTACTATACTTGTTACAGCCTTTGTAGCGATGGCTGAAACAGTGACAGAGATGTTGGAGACCCTGACTAGTGTTCTTCAAGGACTGAATGTGCAGAAGGCGCCACCGCCAGTGAAGTTGAGCAAGTTCAAGGGTTCACCACAGGTAGCTGGTGATTTGTCCCTGCAGGAGTGGCTGGAGAACTTTGACAGTTATTGTCGACACTACCAGCTTAAAGATGTTGCAAAGGCCCAGTCCTTAGTGGATCATTTGGGAGGAGTGGCCAAGGAGGAAGTTTTGTGCAGGGAGGAGAGAATCCTCAAGGACTTTGACCAGCTTGTTGCTGTGCTGCGATCATTGTTTGGTGCAGTGGACACTGTTCAGTCATTAACGGCTGAATTCCATAGTAGGAGGCAGCATGGTGGTGAGACACTCGCCGATTATAGTAGGATTTTAATGCGAATCTACACGAGGATGGAGAAAGCTGCATCGAGCAGTGATGAGAAGCAAGCTTTGACTCAACTTAGAGACACATCCTTGAAGGAGAGATTTGTCACAGGTAGCAGCCAGGTGTGGATGCAACGAGAGCTGCGCAGAATGGAGCTGGCAGCGAAGGGCAAGACCTTCTTACAGTTGAGGGAGGATGTGCTGGAATTCTTCAGGGGTCAAGAGACCAAGGCGATTCCAGTTAAGGAAGTGAGTAGCTCTGTCGATGTTCATGTGGCAACTACCAAGAATGCAGATGCTGAGTGGAAGGGTGAGATGAATTCCCTTAAGGAAGATGTGGCATCACTCAGAAGGTGTGTGGAATCCTTGGTGGATAGCAAGGTGAATGCTGGAAGAGCTCCACAGAAGAAGAATCGATGTTTCAACTGTGGTAAGACAGGGCACATGAGGAATGAGTGCGAGGAGGAGACGTTGTGTTTCACCTGTAAAGGGCGAGGACACATTAGCCGGCAGTGTCCACAGAAGTTACAGTCGATTACCCAGCCTCCTTCACCAACGATGGCATCTCCTCAGCCTGGAGCAAAGAGAGGGACGATGGACACACGTCATCAGGTTCCATCAGAGTTTGCTAAGCGCTTTGTGGCACCATGTCCGAAAGGAACAGTCCATATCGCGGGATTAGATATTGGATGTATTTTTGATTCTGGAGCAGAGGCTTCCATTATTCCAGCATCAGTGTATCATCGATGTTTGAAGGAGAGGCTGGGAGGACCTCAGCAGGAGCCAGGAGTTTTTCTCAATGTTGTAGGCGTTGGTGAAATTGAAGTGCCTATAGAGGGTTTTGTTGAAGTTCCCATCAAGGTCAGAGGGCAGTCACTACAAGGAGGATTCCTGGTAGTAGTTGACAGAGAATGCAGTGGCACTGCATCGGAGTATCCTATTCTACTAGGTTGTAACATTTTGCAGAATTTGGATGGATATGACATCGAATTTGGTTTTCGATCTAAGGCACCCACAACCATGGAGAGCAACGGTTGCCCATCACCAGTAAGGACAGGAAGATTGGAGGTATTCCCTCCTTATACAGTTAGAAGGGTGATGTGCCATGTGGAGAGGAACACCATTACGCCAGGAGCTGAGATCTTGGTGAGAGAGTCAGATGAGGAGCCAAGTTCGACGCTGAGTGCAGTTGAAGGTTGTCAGCAGTTGAAGGGGGATGATGTTGAATTGTTTATGTCCAACACATCTGGACAAGAGGTTCATCTACCGCCTGACACCCGTGTTGCTGAAGCTCTGGCTGTGAAAAGAACAGGACAACTCTACTTACATCTGCACGATGAACAGTTAAGAGTATCAATGTGTGATGTCGTGATAGAGGGAGTCGACTCACCAGTGAGGATGTCTTCGGAGTCGGTAGAGGCTGTTTCCTGTCTTCCGCCAGGTGTGAAGTTGGAAGGTCTAACAGAGGATCAAACAGAGAAAGTGAGAGAACTTCTTCAGAAGCATGCTGATGTTTTCTCTGCAGGTGCATTTGATCTTGGGGAGTGCAATGTGGTACCTCATCACATTCAGCTGGTAGATGGACCAACAGTTAGACTTCCATACAGGCGTATCCCTCCAGCTTTGATTCCTGAGGTTAAGCAGATGTTGCAAGAGATGGTGGAACGGGGGATAATTCGCCCATCCAAGAGCCCGTTCGCCAGTCCGATTGTCTTGGTGAAGAAAAAGAATGGATCTTTGAGACTATGTATAGATTATAGGAAGGTCAATGCTCGCACGGTGAAGGATTCTTTTCCGTTGCCCAGAATAGAGGAGACCCTGGATGCACTTCGAGATGCGAAGTACTTCTCAACACTAGATCTGGCACATGGATATTTTCAAGTCGTGATGGACCCATCCTCCATCGATGTGACTGCCTTCAGAGTGCCTTGGGGGTTGTATGAGTTCACTCGGATGCCGCAGGGACTAGTCAACAGTCCTGGCACGTTCCAGAGGACAATGGAGTACATCCTAGGAGATCTCAACTTGAGTCAGATTGTCTTGTATTTGGATGACATCTTGGTGTATTCTGCAACATTTGAAGAGCACTTGATGAGGCTTGAGGTAGTGCTGACTAGACTTGCAGAGAATGGATTGAAGGTACAAGGCAAGAAGTGTCATTTTGTTCAACAAGAAGTTAACTACCTAGGACATGTAGTGAGTGAGGATGGAGTTAGTGTTGACCAAGGCAAGGTAGAGAAAATTCAGACGTGGCCGCGACCTCAGAATGGGAGAGAAGTGAGTTCGTTCCTGGGGTTGGCTTCCTATTACCGTCGATTTATTGATGGGTTTTCTCGAATAGCTGGCCCTTTGCACCAAGTTGCTGCTAAAGGGAAAGGAAGCAAGACTGAGTTTGTGTGGGGAACAACACAAGAAGAGGCCTTCGAGATTTTGAAGTCGAAGCTTACAAGTGCACCAGTTTTAGCATATCCGAAGTTCGATGAGGAGTTCATTCTGGAAGTGGATGCATCCAAGAAGGGACTCGGTGCTTGCTTGATGCAGAAAGGAGATGATGGTAGGGTACACCCTATTCCTTATGCCAGTAGAAGTCTGCGAGGTTCAGAGAAGAACTACCCTGATTTCAGTAGCTTCAAGATTGAACTGCTTGCTCTGAAATGGGCAGTTACTGAGAAATTTGCACCCTACCTCATGGGAGCACATTGCATAGTATTAACAGATCACAACCCGCTGAAGTATCTGTCTACAGCAAAGTTGGGAGCTACAGAGTTCCGATGGGTTGCCCAGCTGGCACCGTTTGATCTGGAAGTCAGATACAGAACAGGCAAGAGTAACAAGAGTGCGGATGCATTGAGTAGGAGACCAGCTGACATGCTCCAAGAAGAAGTTGCTGCAGTGATTGATGAGGTGCTGGAGTCAACAGAGTTTCCTCAGGACAAGCAGCCTACATCACACGATGACTTCAACATTGCTATTCGAAGGGTCACGAACGAGAAGGTTTCGAATGTTTTGCCTTCATATAGTTATGAAGAATTAGCCAAACTGCAGGAAGAGGATGACGACTTGAAAGAAATACGTCACCTGAAGGAAGCGAGAATTCCTGGACCAGAGCCAGGTGCCAAAGTGACAGATTTGCATGGATGGCTACGAGAGTATGCAAGCTTCGAGATGTACCATGATGTGCTGTATCGAGAAGTAGAAGACCCAGTGTTGGGCAAGATTCATCAGTTGCTGGTACCTAGGGTGTTGAGAGAGTCGATGCTAGAGATGACGCATGACAAATGGGGTCATCAGGGAGTTGACAGGACCCTGAACTTGTTACGAGAACGATGTTATTGGCCCGGAATGACACGAGAAGCAAGAAGGTACATCAAGAAGTGCTTTAGATGCATCACTTCAAAGTTGCCTACACCTACGGTTCGCCCTCCACAACGGCATTTGATTGCATTTAGACCTTTGGAGATTGTAGCTGTGGACTTCTTGAAGCTTGACAGAGGAAGAGGCGGATTTGAAGATGTATTGGTGCTTACCGATGTGTTCAGCAAGTTTTGCCAAGCCATCCCATGCAAGGATCAAACTGCTGTGACGGTAGCAAAGGTGTTACGAGATGCTTGGTTCACACGGTACGGCATACCGTCAAGAATTCACTCGGATCAAGGACGGTCATTCGAGTGCACCCTTGTGGCTGAGCTTTGTAAGATGTATAACATACAAAAGTCACGGACGACAGCATACCATCCGGCTGGAAATGGCCAGTGTGAACGGTTCAACAAGACGCTGTGTGGATTGCTGAGATCGCTGGATCCTAGAGATAGGAATAGATGGCCTGAGTTAATCCAGCATGTGGTATATGTGTACAATTCTACACCGCACAGGATAACGAGAGTGACTCCACATTTTCTAATGTTCGGTCGCAGACCTACGTTGCCAGTGGATCATTTGATAAACAGTCTCCATTCTGATTGTACGGATGATTACGCTCAAGCACAGCAGAGATTGATGGAGAGAGCCTACAAGATAGTTTGTGATAGACAGAGAGAAGCAGCAAAGAAAGAGGAAGAGAGACAGGCCAAAGGAAGAGGTGATTTGTCTACCCTGGAAGTTGGAGAGAGAGTGTTGCTCAAGAACGAGGCATTTACAGGGAGGCACAAATTACACGACAAGTTTGACGAGAAACCCTTCATCATTTTAGCCAAGAACGAGGAGGGTGATTTATATAACATTCAACCTGCCCTTGGAGGGGTTACCAAGTGGGTAAATAGACGCAGAATTATTGCAGATCCTCGTCAGGAAAATGATGGCCTTGATGGTATTTTACCCTACCCAGATGTAGCAGAGCTTGGGCGTGGTATTAACATTGGAAATGACGTTATCCATCAAAGTAGTGATGATGACGACGACGACGACGATGAGGAGGATGATCATGAGAACGGTTACACTCTTTCATGGAAGGAGTTACCTCATCACGTTATTGACGCAGGTGTGACGGAGCCCAGACGATCAAGTAGAATTAACAAAGGAGTGAATCCTAATCCTGGTCGACTGCCGATGTCGGCGATCACCAGATTACCCCCCTGATGGAGTTAAGTGATGTGCGCATCGAAAGCGGCGAAGAGGAACCGTTTAGTTGCATCAGTTGGGAAGGGATATATATATATATTTTCGAGAATAGGCTACAAACAGAATTTGTTTAGGAACTTGTATTTGAAGGAGAATTAGGAAATTCAAGTCTTATAAGTGGCATAAATATATGTTATGTATAACAAGGCTTCAACAGTTTTTGATAAGGCAAGCTAAATGATGTTGACTTATTTTTATGTAAATAGTTCAGATTGGCTTGTTATGCAGGAAATAAGGTTTATATTTTCGTCATTGGAGCCAGATTAGTATGTAGTGATCTCATTTGATAGTACTCATTGGAGATTTGTATACTATAGTTGGTATACAGTAGTGAGGTGTATAGAAAGGATAATGGTCTATAGGTTCTTTTTCAATTGAAGTTTGATTGAATGTTTATCGATGAGTAATTTTATGTTACATAGGTACACATTGGCGCTTTCGGGACGAAAGCTGTTTAAGCGGGGAAACTGTGGGAATGTGGACTAGTTTATGTTTTATGTAGATCGCGGACTTGTCCGATTATGCAAATTAGTTCGCTACGCGTGTTGCACATGATTTTGCGGATGAATGATTTATTGTGTGGTACGCCGCCCACGTTAATGTGTTAACATACATGTTAGTATTGAATGACATTCATGTCACGTTCAATTGCGGAGAGGACGTTGTTGCTGTGCCTGTAGCTATGTATTACAGAGTCACGCGGTTTCCTTGTTTTAACGAGGGTTTTGGTTCTACTGTTTGGCAGTATTTTCGAGGGCAAGATCAGGACTTGCATGTTGCAGCTTCTGTTGCTGAGCTGAGCTGAGTTGATTGCTGGTAGTTTCTTGGTGTCTCCCTTTTCCCCTTCACTTCCTTCTCCACTGTAGTTGAGAGCTTCAGTGGTTTATTGCTGAAGACTTTGGGGTTTTTTCCCGTTTCTGCGTGCATGAATCACCGAGAATCAACGGTTTATGAATTAAAGCACCGGTTACGCTAACACACGTTTTCCCGAGTTTCATTTATCGTCTCACACGTACTACGACAATAATAATAATAATAATGATAATAATAATAATAATAACAGTAAATAAATATTAAAAAAGTTTTAAAAAATGAAAAAATATATATAATATAAATACAAAAATTAAATAAAGAGGGGGGGGGGCGGGAAATGGGAAAAGAGAAAGGCAATTTCATAAAAATGGATATTGTTACAAAAAAGAACAGTAACCAGGTCTAACTGATAATCAGTTTCTTCCTTTGTCTAATAGTAAATTACTGTATTAACAAAATATGGTAACGTAATAGAATCTCTTAATAGTTTTGTTGAAATAGCGCCACCTTCGTGTCCAAATTTAAACCATGAAATTGATGTCAAACAACAATCATCGTCTCTACGTTATTGCTGTCATTTTCTATTAGCACTCGTTCAGAAATGTACAGAACAAAAGAGAAATCATTTACGAACAAGAAAATAATTATAATCACATAACATTCAGAGTGGAGGAGAATAAAAACTTTTACTTTAAAAACTATCGAGGTAACTCATTGTTTTGCTCTCCTCCATGCAGACACATCATGGTTGGCGAACCCAGTCAACATGATGCTGGTGGCAGCCGCTGGTTTCTTCATCACCGTGGTTGCTATGGTAACGGTGAAAAAGTTGAGATCACGTACTAAAGTCTCCAAAGGATACAGCCGTCTGCAGACTGAGGGTGAAATCGAAGCTTAGAACTAGGAGAAGAAAGAAGAACGTGGAGAAGGGGGAGGAGGAGATGAAAGAAGAAAAAAGAGAGGAGATGATGAATGATGATAAAGATGAAGAAGAAGACGAATGAGACATAAAGTTTGTGACGACACAAGCTTTTCTGGTCATTTATTCAATATCTCGCAAATGGCATATATCTCGAATATATCATGCATATCATTATAGAGTAATATGGAATTTATAATTCGTTTGTTGAAAGAAATATATGATCATGATTATATACATAATTATTTCGAAAATAAAAAAGAGACGTTCGTTTTCAGTTAACCTCTAGCTTTTTATAAAGACAACTTTTATGAGTACGTCGATGATAGTGACACTTCTGGCTATGAAATTATTACAAACGATTGTTAATGCTTAAGTTGATACACCTCCTGCAAGAAGGTGGAAACATATAACTGAAAATTAAACTCGGTAAAATGTGTTGATGTTTATACTGTTCTCTAATGCGCTCCAGATGAAGTTCAAGAAAAAGCCGATCGAGCAATATATTTTTTGCATTTATTGTAGGCCTACTTCTCATTTTTGATTTATTCTAATTTTTGGTATACTGTACAGTAATGTATTAAAATGATTTTGAATCTCTTTATCCTATCCTACCACTATGTATCCCTTCTTCTTTCCCATACTTTTCCCCATATTCTCTCTCTCTCTCTCTCTCTCTCTCTCTCTCTCGTTCTCTGTCTTTCTCTAGCTACTTCTTATTCCCTGTGAAATGAATTCCTATGTGAAAAATATCTCACTGGAAAATAAATTCTATCCGAATTGATGATTAAAGAGACGTCGTTCAATGGGTGTATGTGAGAATGATTGTTTAAAAGCTTATTGCTCATGGTTATAGTTTCTCTATTTAATTTCATTTATTTTCTTCTGAATACCATATAAATATAAACAATTATTGGTACCTTAACCAACATCAAATTCTAAGAAATACTCTCTGACAAGCAATCATAGATAAAATTATTATAGAAAAAATGAAAAGAAAGATAAAATATCAAATTATCATATTTTATAAAACTTTATGAATAAGGCCTTAAAAAAAGATGTTGTATTGCCCTTTGCGACCTACCCAAAAATGTTGAAATCTACGGTCGGCTTTTTTTAAAACCGTGTTTTAGTAAAAACAAAAATGTATCAAAGCATTATAAACTAAGAAATATCAGCCCAAACAGGGAGTTTTAAAAAAAAAGTTTAAAAAAAAAAAAATACGACCGACCGACCCATATTTTGGCACCTAAAGGGCAATACAACATCTTTTTTTTTGTAGGCCTTATTTGAGAAAGAAAGACTGCCATTGTAAGCAAATTGCTTGGAAATATGACAGCCCAAAACAAATTGTATTGATTAGTTGAACATATATTTATTGAGCTGAATGGAAAATATTGTGATGATGTTGATGATGATGATGATGATGATGGTGATGATGATGATGATGTCCATTAATACAGCCTAAACGGGTCTCTGTTCTCTTTATATTAAAAAACATGAGAATAGAGACAAAGGGCAGAAGTATTATCAAATCAATGGAGAATCGTCGTATTTTAATATGAGCTTTTGCAATGATTGACAGAGAATATTAAAATGAATACTGCATCATGCTGCACAATTATAAAGGCTCCTTTCTGTTACTAAAATAGGAATAGGAATAGGAATATAAACTATTATAAAAGATTCAATAAAATGCTTTCCCAGTTTATTTAAGACATGTATTCAAGTGAAAATTCAAAGAATTGGGAATAAACAACAACTATTATTTTGATTTGGAAACAGAAATTGCGTAAACTAAACCTCATTAATAAAACTTGGTCATTCACCTTCCAAAAAGTAGAATATTCCCGAAATGAATACTAATGAGACAAATGAATAAACATTAGGAAGAATATATCCACGATTAAAGAAAGGATTCCGGGGTGACTACATCACAAGCAAATGTAGAACAGCACGAAATGAGACATAAAACCCTAAATGTATTTCCTTCAAATGATAAAGGATGTGTCAAATTCTAAGAAGCTGTTTCAAAGGGAAGGTTTTTTTTATGATTTAGAATTGTTCAATATTAGTAGGGGGGTAGTGAGCACATTTTTTTTTTTTTTTTTTTTTTGGGGGGGGGGCCTCGAAAATTTGAAAATTTGCACCCCCCCCCCCCCCCTTGACCGCCAGGGGGGGGGGGGGCCATCCCCCCCAAAAAGCTAAAAATCACGTGTTTTTACACGGTTTTTTCCCCAGGGGAGGGGGGGCCGGGCCATAACCCCCCCCCCCCCCCCCTGGATCCGCCACTGAGGAGAACTATAGCGCTTGGAGAGGATGAGTGGCGTGAGTTGGCTCGACGTTTCGAACAGGTTGACTATCCGTGTTCAGAAGTCGTCAATCCTCCCCCTCTCTCTCACATGGTGCACCCGCAAGCCTACTGTATTTGTTTTGTTGTAGGTATAACTTCATGCACCCAACCTACAGTACCAACAAACGGCAGTATCACTCTTGATACTCCTGAATATGACCTACATACCCGAATCGCATACGCCTGCGACGACGGGTATACGTTAGGAGGCCCATCCGAAGCGGTCTGCGAATCGGGTGGGGTCCACTGTACCCACTTGCGAAGGTAAGTTCTGTGTCATTCTTTATCTTTTTAGAGCACAACCGAACTGTTAATTAATATATGGCACCAGGGGCGTACGCAGGATTTTTTCAAGGGGGGTTTTAAACAAAACAAAGGGGGGTTTTAGGGGGGTTTTCTTAAAAATACACACATAAAAAATGCCAAAGGGGGGGGGGTTAACCCCCAAAACACAACCCCCCCCCCCCCTTCGTACGCGCCTGTGCCTAAGTATGTATATGAGAATGGTTTCATTTTCTATCGAATAAAATGCCATTAGGCCTACATACATTCATACATTCATGTATATGTGCGTGTGCGTCTTTGCTAGTGAGTATGTATGTGCGTGTGTGGGGATGGGTGCGTGTATGTGCACGCACATTTAAAAGAAGAAATACGGAAAAAAAGCGAGTGTGAGTGTTTTGGCAAGCCCAAGGATATTTGGCAAGGTATTTGGTAATTTTAAGTCTGACTTGCTACCAAGCATCATGGAGTTGTGAACATAAATTGACATCCGATGTAATGACAATTGGTCTGATATAAACTTCTAGTAGGCAGCCACCGTCATGCAATCATAAAATACTAACAAGGAAAATGATATTGTAGGGATCAAAGGGGACAACATAAATTGAGCCCAGCTGCGCTTTTACATTTTAATAGAATGAGTTTGAGGAAGTGATAAAATCATCGATATGTGATTTAATTTAAATTAGAGAGCATGCATTCCAATTTTGATTACATTTGTTTGTTTGCCAATATGATTTTGCTGGGTTATTTAATTTCTGAAGACAACGTCAATATTTCTCTTTACCTCTACCAAACTTGAAGGTGATTGTCAAGCTCCATCGAACAGCAATGTCACTGGTTCTTACTCACACGCCTCTGAGGTGACATGCTCTTGCTTTCAGGGGTTCAGTCTGAGTATCGGATTGGACTCCGTAGTTGCAACTTGTGTCGATGGGGCATGGAGTCCACCAATCGCTTGTGAATCAACTGGTGAGGCCATTATCAATCTAGAAGCAACGTATGAGTATCATCGAGTAGGACGCGGAAGGGCGGTAAAGGTTCTGGTGTGCATTTCCCTACACTATTGGTGTTTTGACAGTTCGAATACGAAAACAAAACTGTCCGGAGGAGGAGGAAGGGGAGGGGGTGGGGAGGGCTGACGTATCTTGCCCGAATATTAAACTCTCTTTTTTTTCTTAGAAGGTCTAAATATGATATACATGTATACACTTTCTTAAGTAAAACAATTAAGAGAAGCAATTACAATTCCAATAGACCACCTCCCAACCATAATATTGGGTTAACAGCAGTCTGCGAAAGGGGGAGGGTGTTCCCCCTCCTTCTACGTTTTTTCATGTTCGCACATTCCGATTAGCGACGCACAAGTCTGTTTCCAGTTGCCGTTTCTTGATATTTGAAAACTGTGCGATCACCTTGTAAATTTTAAAGTATAGAAAATGCACCATACTTCTGTGAAAGGACTCACTGTCACCTATTTCATTTCAGGCTGCTCCCCACCCTCTGTTCCACCAAAGGCGACTATCGAGGATCCTCAAAGTGACCCGTATACATATCACTCAAGAGTGACCCTGAAGTGTATTGGTGACAGGACCTTATCTGGTCCAGAGTTCTCATATTGTAACAAGACCGGCCAGTGGAACCCAGACCCTATGACAATCAAGTGCCTCGGTAAGGATTGTTTATAGTCTTGTAAATATTATTGTCCTCAGCTATCGAAATATCATTGGTAATTTGCCGTTGCTATATTGGACAATCATTTGCAATGCGGATAAGTGCAACTTTAAGAGGTGGACATACTTCTAACACTATATGATTATGGTTATTTCGATTTTAAATTAGTGACAGTGAAAGCCAACACTTCCCAAAAGACAGAAGGTCCTAACACCGAAGATCCAAATAAAACAAGTTTCACGAGACTAAATTGAGGCTCTCGGAAACCTTCAAATTCCTTCCTAATTTCAGTCAGGGTCAAGCGAATCTTCATCCATCTGTGTTGCGTTGAAGAGTACATCACCGGCCTAAACAAAAACAAAATATGTACAGCTGGATTATAAAATAAACCTAAAACGTACTTGGCATTATGCTGGATAATAGATTAATGAGTATGAGGAGAGTGAAGGATAATATGAAACACCTTACATGCATGGAACCCAACCATGCCTACTCTATTCTATACAAGCGTGTAAGGTCGCATCAACTATGCTCCTCATCAGTCGTAGTTATGTTTACTGAGTTCATTTAAACTTTCAGTAGGATTAATCATTTCGTAGAAGTAATATAAGCATCTCGTATTTTGATTATTATGACAGCTACATGTACATATGGAGGCCCTGACATAAAGAGCAGCACTATATGGGCTTGATAAGTATCTTTTAATTTCCACCTTTGTAGATCAGTGCCTGACGCCGTCCTTCGATGACCCGAAGATCATTCACACGTCACATCTATCGGGGAACTCCGACCAGTCCTTCTACGACCATACCGATACCATCAGGTTCTCATGCGAGGGTGGCATCTTCGTGGACGGACCGTGGAAGGCTGCCTGTCACGACGGCACGTGGTTTCCGCACATTGGCGGTCACCGTCCAGTTTGTAAAAGTACGAATCCTGAACAGTAACGTTGTGAACATTAAGAGGTCCACACTGTGTACATAATGTGTCCGCACTGTGTCCACACTGTGACTATAATATGTCCACATTGGGGCCATATTCCCTCCACTCTGTGTACATAATTTGTTAACACTATGAATATAATATTTCCACACTGTGATAACACTATGAATATAATATTTCCACACTGTGATAATAATTTGTTCACTCTTTGAAAATGATTGTCCATTGGTCTTCCTCGGTGGATGAAATGAGAATATCAAAGGCCATTATGATATTGATAAATGAATATTGGCAGGGTTTTGAGCATCTTAATTCTTTCGTCCCTCTCCCCATTTCTCTTTTATTTTTTGTAAATCCCCCCATACAGTCGGGGGGGGGGGCACCCGTCACCGGACCCCTTAGCTACTATACTGACGTTCACTGTTTTGTTTTTGGTGATATCCATGTACAGACAACTGCACCGCACCAGAGAACATGTCGAACGCGGGGGCGGTGTTCCAACATTCCGATAGTCACATGTTTGACTGCGATGGAACCCCGG